CTATAGCACAGGTCCAATTAATAGTAAAAATTTACTTAAGGACGCTAAGGTCTGTGGCTTGGAATTGTTTATTGGAAATTGGAAAAGGGAACTAAACCGTACCGGAGCCAAAATTGTATTTCTGGAGATAACAAACTACGTACGCACAGGTTATTTAAGTTTAATTATGAGGTAGAAAATTATAATATGTTAGTAATGCCTAAATCACATAGTAGTGCGCTAGCTAAGTTTAGGTATGGGGTTGCACCGATACGCATCGAAACAGGCCGGTATGAGAGAATACTTTTGAGTGAAGAAAGTGTTTCGCGTGTAAAGGCGTGGTAGAAACAGAGAGTCATGTTTTAATAGAATGTAACTTATATAATGATCTCCGATCGGGTCTATTGTAGGAGGCTAGTAAAATCACAATTGATATTTCCAATATGAGTAAAGATGAAAACTTAGTTGTAATTTTAAGCAATCCTTACTTGGTGAGGTCCTGTGCGAAAAAACCTGTGTTAATATTCTTAATCGTCGTCACAACTTGATCTATAATTAAGCAGTAATGTGTCTTTTAATATCAATTATTTTTATAGTTTTATATTGGCAATTTTTTTAATTCATAAGTATGTGCATATATATAATACTTTTACAGTCTAGAATGATAGGGGAAGAGTGAGTGTCTCGTAAGTCTAATAAAGACTGAAAGTAAGGGTGGGTGAGAAGACGTATTTTAGAGATTGTAATATTTGGACCTTTTACATGTGACACTATGATAATAATAAACTAATTTTAGGACAATAACGCATGACAGGGATTAAAATTTGTCGCTCGGCGGGCGACTGAGTACCAATTCACCTGACGCGTACCTTATGTTACTCTTGTTCAAATTTATCACACACATTCCAATATTTTTTCATATTAGTATATCTAGTTGTGTAATCATTCAAACCAGAGACATATATATCACATAATCTTAAATCTATATGGAGTCTTTTGAAGTAAACAGTCTTTCATGTTCTCAAATGTATCACACATAACAATACACTCTGTTGCATAAATAGGACGAAAATAGGATCTTATATGGTAATTGTCAACTATTTTCTTCTTAATGTGGTTGTTATGTGTGTAGTTTGCAAGAGGTCTGAATGACATCTATAAGCTTCGATGTTTAAAGAGTTTTAAAACATATCTGGTGAATCTTACTATGACTTTCATCTTCTCAAACTTATCATGCACATAAAAATACACTCTTGTCGCATCAACAGCTTGTTTTAACTTTAAGTGACGAGAATAAGATCTAATATGATAATTGTCAAATATTTTCTTCTTAATGTGGTTGTTATGACTGTATTTTGGAAGAAAACTGAATGACATATATATGCGTTGATGCTTAAAGAGCTTTAAAACATATCTGATGAATCTAACTATGACAATGCAGTCAGTCCGTGGAATATAAATGTTCTGTATTTCAATTTTGTTATAAAAGAAGACATTTGTAAGCTGAAACTCGCCAAATGGATGCAATTATCAATTTATTCTTAAAAAATATATCAAACAAGAGAGGTGTAATAGGCTGGGAAGGTGTTTGTATCAGGAAATCATGGTTTCTTAAATAGCGTTTGATAGCAGAGACTAGTCCATGGTATTGGAGAAAGTTTGTGTTGGTTTGTTAAATCCAGATACGTTAACACAGAAATGTTAATTTATAAGAAAAGATATAAACATACACCTCACTGTATAGGCAGTTGAAGATGCATGCATCATTATTGGCAGTAAGACACAGGTAACGATATTTGATTGATCCTTGAATACATTTACATGACATATACTTGCACACATATACCACCTATACCCTCCTACATCACCTATACGTCCTACACCAC